CTCCTGCAGGACGGCCGCTCCTGGGCGCGCAGGGGCCCCCCGAGCCCGCCGAGCGCCAGCACCAGCCACAGCGCGGGCAGCGCCCGGCGCCCCGCCACCATCCTGCGGCCCCGGGCCTGCGACGCCCTCCTCCCGCTGCTGCGGCTCGCAGCCCCTTCTGCTCCCCCGGGCCGGGCTCGGTGGGGACGCGGAGCCGGGGGACCCACCGGGGACCCGCCTTGCTTGCTGCTGCTGCGGGGGTGCCACCCCGGGCCAGGAGCTGGGGCAGGGGGAGCCACCCGGGGACAGAGGACGGACAAGAGAGAGGAGAGGGAGGTCCTGCGAGGACAAAGGCAGCTGCAGCCGGAACTCCGGACGAATCCCAGCGGTCCCCTCCCCACCCCTCCCGACTCCTCCGGAGCGCCCTGCAGACCGAGGCGAGGCCCGGGCGGCGACAGCTGGCGGGAGAGGTCCCTCTCCTGTCTCTCTCTCTCTCTCTCTCCTCTCTCTCTCTCTCTCTCTCTCTCTCTCTCTGGCCTCTACTAGGCAGGAGCCTCCAAACCCCAGATCTGGAGGCTGGGGCTTCTTCCGCCTCCGGGGCAGCCGGGGAAGGCCCAAGTCCGGGCTGCGCCCTGGGCGCGCGCGCGCCCGCGGGGACAGTCACCAACTTGCAGCCAGAGAGAGAGAGATCGGGGCCCCTCAATCTGGTTCCTTCCTCCTCTTCCTCCTCCTCCTCCTCCTCCCTCGCTCACTCGCTCTGCAAAACTTTTCTTCCCTGGGCTGCTGGCCTCGGGCCCGGCCTCCGCCCCGGGGCCGGCCCCTTTTTAGGGGAGGAGGCAGGGCGAGCCCGCCCGGGGGTGACTAAACGGAGCCGGCTGCGGTCCCCGCGCGCGACACTGCACACGCGTGGGTCCCCTGCTCCTGCTCGAGGTGACTGACGCCTGCCAGATCTGGGCAACAGGGCGGGCGGGAGAAGTTTAGGAAAACAAACGTCCTCTGGAAACCAACCCTAACCCAAGTGTCCCGCAGGCCTGGCCTGTTTTGGCATAAACTGCTTAGAACAGCACGGAGAGCCCGGTTTGGGGACCAAAGACTGGTGACTCCCCGGGAGGTGACGGCCTCCTCATTCCACCCCAACCCCATTCCACCCCAACGCCAATACCATAAACACACACACTTTTTTTATTATTATTATTATTTCAGCATATTATGGGGGTACCGATTTTAAGGTTTCAATAAATGCCCATTTCCCCCCTCCCCCCCACAAGTCTGAGTCTCCAGCATGACCATCCCCCAGAGGGTGCACATCTCACTCATTATGTATGTCTATACCCGCCCCCTCCCCCCTCCCCCCTGCCACCTGCCCAATACCCTATTACTGTAGTTCCTGTGTGTCCACTTAGGTGCTGCTCAGTTAATACCAGTTTGCTGACACACACTTTTTTTTTATATAAACTTCCTCCTTTAAAAAAAAAAAAAAAAAAAACCTAAACAAACACCAAAACGTACTGTGTAGCTCCATCCCACCAAACCAAGAAAAAGTGGGGCTGGGGGTAAGGGGTGGGGGGTCATGGCAGAGGAGCTCAGGCCTCTTTAGAAGTGGAAAGTTGCACCCCAAAATATGTCATCCCCAGGCTGGGGCGTGATGGCTCACACCTGTAAAATCCTAGCACTCTGGGGAGGCCGAGGCGGGAGGATCCCTCGAGGTCAAGGAGTTCGAGGCCAGCCTGAGCAAGAGCGAAGAGTCCCCCCGTCTCTACTAAAAAAAAAAAAAAAAGAAAGAAAAACAGAAAGAAATGAATTGGCCAGCTAAAAATATATAGAGAAAAAATTAGCCGGGCGTGGTGGCGCATGCCTGTAGTCCCAGCTACTCAGGAGGCTGAGGCAGGAGGATCGCTTGAGCCCAGGAGTTGGAGGTTGCTGTGAGCGAGGCTGACACCACGGCACTCACTCTAGCCTGGGCAACAGAGTGAGACTCTGCCTCAAAAAAATAAATTAATTAATAAAAAATAAAAAAAATATTATGCTATGGCAGCAAATGACTGACTAGGTGATAAACAAAAAGGATCCAGGGATTCCAAGAGCTGGGAGAGAAAACATTCCAGCTACAGCAAGATCTGTATTAGCTTAGCACCTTCAAGAGGGTTAGGGTTAGGGTTAGGGTTAGGGTTAGGCGGTGTAGCTGGAGCTTTGTGTGTAAGAATTAATGCAAGAGAGAGGGAGTCAGGGGCAAGATTGTGTGATGCTTTGTAAACTAAGATTAAAAATAAATAAATAAAAAAATAAAAAGAAGGCCGGGCGCGGTGGCTCACGCCTATCATCCTAGCACTCTGAGAGGCTGAGGCAGGAGGATCGCTCGAGGTCAGGAGTTCAAAACCAGCCTCAGCAAGAGCGAGACCCCGTCTCTACTATAAATAGAAACAAATTAATTGGCCAACTGATACATTTAGAAAAAATTAGCCGGGCGAGGTGGCTCACACCTGTCATCCCAGCACTCTGGGAGGCCGAGGCAGGTGGATTGCCTGAGGTCAGGAGTTCGAAACCAGCCTGAGCAAGAGCGAGACCCCCGTCTCTACTATAAATAGAAAGAAATTAATTGGGCAATTAAAAATATACATAAAAAAATTAGCCGGGCGTGGTGGCGAATGCCTGTAGTCCCAGCTACTCTGGGAGGAGGCTGAGGCAGGAGGATCGCTTGAACCCAGGAGTTGGAGGTTGCTGTGAGCGAGGCTGATTCCACGGGCACTCACTCTAGCCCGGGCAACAGAGTGAGACTCTGTCTCAAAAAAAGAAGAAGAAGAAGAAGAAAAACACTCAGATATTTTATACTGAGCATGATAAGACTTCACTAGACTTCAAGCCCAGGAGTGGGCCGGTGGAGGAATTGGTATTTTCTGTGTTTTTCAGAGATCATTCTGGCCGCTATGAGACAGGGAATTTGGAGTTAGCAATAATGGTACCTGGAAGACCAGTTAGGAGACTGTTAATAGTTATCAAGGCAAAATAAACGGGTATTATACCTTGGGCCGTCACCTCTCTGGCTAAACCGAGAGATACAAATTTATAAGAGCTTCAATAAATACAGGCAGACCCCCAGTTTGAAAAATATCCTCATTACAAATGTGAAAGATTGGATGGAAAAATGGCTAGGGTGCCTTTTCACTCTTTGCAAACCGGCCGCTTGGGGTTGGAAGGAAATGTCACCACCATGCACTTGAGCCACCACTTCTTACCGGATGCAGTGGGGAAGGTCCCAACGGGGGAAATGGTCTCTGACCTCCACAGTTTTCAAATAACTGAGCACTGGAAGAAAGTCCAAGGGAGAGCGATGGCTGTATAATAAAAGCCCTAATTCTGTCCTCCCCTGCCTCATCTTTTTTTTTTTGACACAGAGTCTCACTCTGTTGCCCGGGCTAGCGTGAGTGCCGTGGCATCAGCCTCGCTCACAGCAGCCTCAGACTCCTGGGCTCAAGCGATCCTCCTGCCTCAGCCTCCTCCCGAGTAGCTGGGACTACAGGCATGGGCCACCACGCCCGGCTAATTTTTTCTATATATATTTTTAGTTGGTCAATTAATTTCTTTCCATTTATAGTAGAGACGGGGTCTCGCTCTTGCTCAGGCTGGTCTCGAACTCCTGACCTCAAGCGATCCTCCCGCCTCGGCCTCCCAGAGTGCTGGAATGACAGGCGTGAGCCACAGCACCTGGCCCTAAAAGCCCTAATTCTGTCCTCCCCTGCCTCATCTTTTTTTGTTTGTTTGTTTGTTTTGTTTTTTTTGACACAGAGTCTCACTCTGTTACCCGGGCCAGAGTGAGTGCCGTGGCGTCAGCCTGACTCACAGCAACCTCACACTCCTGGGCTCAAGCGATCCTCTTGCCTCAGCCTCCTCCCGAGTAGCTGGGACTACAGGCATGCGCCACCACGCCCGGCTCATTTTTTTCTATATATTTTTAGATGGCCAATTAATTCCTTTCTATTTTTAGTAGAGACGGGGGGTGGGGGGTCTCGCTCTTGCTCAGGCTGGTCTCAAACTCCTGACCTCCAGCGATCCTCCCGCCTCGGCCTCCCAGAGTGCTGGGATGACAGGCCACCGCTCCCGGCCAAGAACCAGTTTTAAATTCAAGGCATGCTGTTTTCCTTTGGTCCTGGGACAAGATGGATTCTTAGATCAGTTGGTGGAGTCTCAGATGAGCAGCCAAAGCATCATGAAGCCAGGGAAAAAGGAAACTGATAAATGTGAGTTTAAATTATTTCATCAAGAGCAGGGGGCCTCAAACTTTTTAAACAAGAGGCCAGCTCACCGTCCCTCAGACCATTGGAGGGTGCGCACTGTGGGCCCGGGACGCGTCGGCTGCTAAGCAGGACAGGCAGCAGCGGCAAAAACACCCGGCAGCGGGCCGGATACATGTGCCAGGCGGGTGGCATGTGGCCCGCGGGCCGTAGTTTGAGGACGCCTGCTCAAAGGATAGAGTGCATGGCTGGCATCAATGTCTCCTACTTCTTTGCCTTCCATCCTCTTGTAACTTGGAGTCAATTGTCACTATTTTGGGGCAGACTTTTTCCTCCCGCCCTGCTGGATTTTATTCAATCAATAGCACTGATTTGCTATTCATCCTGAGAGGTATATGATATCTTTGATTCTGTCTTTGTATGTGTGTGTGTGTGTGTGTCATGCACTTAACATATATTTTATTTATTCATTTTCTTTTTTGTTTCTTTTTTTTTTTATTTCAGCATATTATGGGGGTACAGATTTTAAGGTTTCAATAAATGCCCATTTCCCCCCCTCAGCATGTGATGGGGGTACCACTGTTAAGGTTATGCATATTGCCCTTGCACCCCCCTCTCCCCCCTCGAGTCAGAGGTTTCTTCATGCGAGATTCTGTCTTAAGATGAAACTTGAGGCCGGGCGCTGTGGCTCACGCCTGTAATCCTAGCTCTTGGGAGGCCGAGGCGGGCGGATTGCTCAAGGTCAGGAGTTCAAAACCAGCCTGAGCAAGAGCGAGACCCCGTCTCTACTAA